TTTTAGGGTTAATTATTCTATGAATAAGCTTGAGTACTCACTCGCTGAACTTCTGAATGAGTTGGTAACCTTTGAAGGGATAATCAAAAGTAAGGGTGCATCTATCAATTACATTCAGTCTGCTGGACCATTCACTTCTAGGCCCAAGAGGAGGGGCAAGGAAAAGAAGAAGGATAGTGCCAAAACTGTGGTTATGCCAAACAAAGTAATCCAAAAGGATAAGGGAAAGAAGAAAGTGCGGGTTGAAGGCGAAGGAAACTGCTTCCATTGCAGTCAATCGAGACACTGGAAACCTAACTGCCCAACACTTCACACGCAAGGCAAAGGAAAAGGTATATTCATTGTTGAGGCATGTAATGTGGTTAAATCTATAAATTCCTGGTGCATAGATTCTGGAGCCACTAACCATGCTTGCAATTCATTGCAGGGATTCCAGGAGTCCAGAAGCCTCAATGAATGAGAGATATACTTGTATATGGGATCTAATGCCAAGGTGGAAGCAAAAGTAGTGGGAGTGGTTCATATACAGTTTGATAGTGGGAGGAGTCTTATTTTAGAAGATTGTCTTTATACGCCAAATGTTAGGCACAATTTAATTTCAGTTTCTTCGTTGGTTTGCAAAAACTATATTTTTACTTTTAGAAAAAATGTTTTAATTAAATTTAATGGTTGTGTTATAACTTCTGGTACATTGAAAGATAGTCTATATATTTTAACTCTTAGCTCATATCAAATGCAAAATTATAAATTAAATGCAACTTCATCTAGATTGAATGTTAAAAGAAAAGCAGTTTCTCCAAACTCATTATATCATTGGCATCTACGATTGGGTCACATCAATCAAAATAGGATTCAAAGGTTGGTTAAAAAAGGTTTATTACCTTGTGAGGCAGAGGAACCTATGCCAACTTGTGAATCCTGTATTGAAGAAAAGATGACTCGAAGGGTTTACTCAGCGAAAGGATATCGAGCCAAAGAACAATTAAAGTTGGTGCACACAGATGTGTGTGGTCCCATGAACACCCAAGCGAGAGGAGGGTTTGAGTACTTCATCACTTTCATTGATTATTATTCACGTTTTGGATATATTTACCTAATGCGACACAAGTCAGAAGCTTATGGAAAATTCCGTGAGTTTCAGGCGGAAGTGGAGCGTAGATTAAGTAAACTTATCAAAACTCTTCGATCTGATCGAGGAGGTGAATACCTCTTGGGGGAGTTCAAGGATTATATGGTTAATGAGGGTATCGTGCGCCAGTTAACCGCACCTGACTGCCCTCAACAGAATGGAGTGGCAGAAAGGAGAAACAGAACTTTACTTAATATGGTTAGATCTATGATGAGTTTTGCTACATTACCTTTATCATTTTGGGGATTAGCCTTAGAATCAGCGATGTACATCTTGAACTGTGTTCCATCCAAGTCTGTTTTAGGAACGCCATATGAGCTGTGGTTTGGACAGAAACCTAGTTTAAATCACATGCATATATGGGGGTGTCCAGCACACATGCGTAAGAAACAGGCAGACAAGTTGGAAGCAAGATCAGATGCATGCTTATTTGTTGGCTATCCAAAGGGCACTAGAGGTGGATTATTTTATGATCCTAGGGACAATAAGATTATTATCGGTGCTCATGTTGTTTACCTGGAGGAGGACTATATTATGAACCACAGACCTAGTAGCTATATAGTGTTAGAGGAGATGGTTGGCACATCTGATATACCCCCTATAGACACACCTAATATAAATACTGAGAATAATGAGACACAAGAAGTCCCTGTTGAATTACCATCATCTAGTACATCGATTCCTGCACCGGTCCTTTGGCGTAGTGGGACGACAATCATCCGACCCGAAAAACTCACGCTTTTGGGTGAGGTCTATGAGGCCGTCCCTGATAAGCATGAGTCGGACCCAGTAAGCTATACAGAAGCGTTGACCGATAAAGATGCGAATCGTTAGAAAGATGCCATGAAATCAGAGTTGGAATCGATGTATTCTAACAAAGTCTGGGATATTATAGAACTTCCTAGTGGGGTTCAGCCCATTGGTTGTAAGTGGATTTACAAACGAAAGAGAGGAATGGATGGGAATGTTGAGACATTCAAAGCTAGACTGGTTGTCAAAGGCTTCACTCAACGTGAAAGTATTGATTATGAGGATACATTATCACCAGTTGCAAAGCTTAAATCTATTCGCATTCTTTTGGCCATTAGTGCTTATAATGACAATGAGATATGGTAGATGGATGTTAAGACAGCATTTTTAAATGGCCATCTTGAACAAGACATCTACATGAGGCAGCCAGACGGTTTTGTGGTTAAAGGTCATGAGGACTCTGTGTGTAAGTTGAATAGGTCCATTTATGGACTTAAGCAAGCTTCATGCACATGGAACATTTGTTTTGATCAGGCAGTCAAATTATTTGGCTTTGAACAAAACGTGTTTGAACCTTGCGTTTACAAGAAAAAACAGGGTAATGTCATCATGATTCTCGTTTTATATGTTGATGACATCTTACTCATTGGTAATGATGTAGAGGCTTTGTCATCAGTTAAAAGGTGGTTATTCAATAAATTTGAGATGAAAGATCTTGGAGAAGCAAGCTATATTCTTGGGATCAAGCTTATGCGAGATCGGGTTAAAAAGAAAATAAGCTTATCTCAAGAGTCTTACATTGACAAAGTTCTGATCAGGTTTGGAATGGAAAACTCTAAGAAAGGGTTTTTGCCATTTAGACATGGATTGGCTCTTTCTAATGATCAGTCTCCCAAGACTGATAAGGAAATTAAGCAAATGAGGCGGGTACCATATGCTTCGGCAGTTGGTAGTCTCATGTATGCCATGGTCTGTACCAGACCAGACATCTGCTACTCTATAGGGATTATCAGTAGATATCAGTCCAATCCCAGACTTGATCATTGGTCAACTGTGAAGAATATCTTAAAATACCTTAGAAGAACTAAGAATCTCATGCTCGTTTATGGAGGTGATGATCTGGTTCCACTCGGATATACGGATTTTATTTTCAATCAGATCCAGATGCCAGGAGATCTACATCTGGATATGTGTTCAAGTTCAATGGAGGGGCAGTTAGTTGGAAGAGTGTCAAGCAGGGTTGAGGTAGCAAAAGAAGCTGTTTGGTTGAGAAACTTTCTAATTGAACTGGAGGTTGTGGAGCATATAGATCGGCCTATGATGCTTCATTGCGACAATAGTGCTGCTATAGCCCAAACAAAGGACCCAAAGTTTCATAAAGGAACAAGACACATTCAGAGGAAACATCATGTGGTTCATGACATAGTAAAGCGAGGAGATATACTTGTAGCTAAGATTGCATCGGAACATAACCTTACTGATCCATTCACAAAGGCTTTACCGATCAAGATGTTTGATCGTCATATGGAGAACACGGGAGTTAGATGTGATTCGAATTGGCTATAAGTGCAAGTGGGAGCTATTGGGATTTGTGTGCGCTAGTATAGCAAATTCTTATTTTGGATTGTAAAAGTCATGGTTCCTTATCTGAATATTATTATTAAAGCATTATACAATTGGTGAATGGAATGCATTATTTTTCGTTTCATTATGAAATTGATTGTGTCCACTTGATTACAAGATATATTTATATATGTGTGTAATGGCAATTAATACTATGTTATAAATTAGTAATCATAAATGGTTCAAAGTCGATAATTATGGATGGACATTTAATTAGTTAAGACTTGAACTGAGTCTATGATAGATTGAGATATATTGCGAGAGCTGTCGTATGCAATTGCTCTCTATCACAGTCATGGCTTTTGACTCTCAAGCATGAGAGAAGTATAGACTCTTTTATTAATTAATAATTACTTTGATTTGTTCGGCGGATACCTCGGGATCCTTAGATCAGCACTTTGGGTAGTAATGTAATTAATAGTTAGAGGTCTATATTCTCAATATTTACATCAGTGCTTTTTGAATTTATTTTGTTTTGATTATGGTTGATCACAAATTAAATTCAAAGACTTTCGTATGTTTTAGGCAAACGTTTTTTATATATATTTATTTAGTAAATTATTATTTTTGTCAAATAAATATTTTATTGTGATCGAGCCGGTAATAATCAAAGGTAACAAAATAATTATATTAATTACATTGTCAAATTGATGGTTTTAATTATCTGATAAATAATTATGCATAGAGGGGTCAAAGTGCAACATTGACTTAGAGGTTATTTACTATTTATTGGAGTGCAATTAATTTCTTTTAGTGGAGTAGAAATTAATTTATGAATTAATTGAATTAGGTCCATGGTTTAATGGACCGGACCAATTATTAATTTATAGGAGCCAAGAAAATAGTAAGCCCAAAAGGATTCTCACCAATAGCCCAAGTTGATATTGGAGTCCTGTTAGAATTGAGAAAGTTGATTTAGAGATGGAGAATGATTTATTTTTTCCTTATTCTTATTTTTATTTTGCTTATATATACATGGGTCCATGTATATTTTAAGGGTGACTTCTAGAACAAGAAAAAGGAATACACTTTCTCTCTCTAGATTTTAGGGTTTGTTTTCTCTTCTAAAGGAGGCTACAACAAGCCTAGATTCCAAGGTCATTCATCAAGGTATATTGGTGATTCCTAAAGAGAAGATTATAATCAAGAAGAAGGAGAACGGATCTTGCTAAAGGGATCTACAATAAGTGAGAACATTCACTTTAGAGGAAAGACTAAAAGGCTTACTCAGACCTTTAATGTAAGTATTCAATCTGTTTATTGAATCATACATCATCTTTTATTTGTTTTTGCATAAAACTTGTCTTTATGTGATGAATCAAGATCCATGATTGCAAATCCCTCCAAAGTTTTTAAAAACTTGCACATTTCCCAACACTTAACCCCACCTTGTTCACAAAGAAATTCATCAGTTCCCTGATCTTCTTCTTTGAGCGAATCATACAAATCAGTTATAATTTGAATGCCAAATTAAATGTGCTTTCAGATTAACCAAAGCTCATATAAGCTTCTTTCTTCGTTTCCCAATTGAGTTTGCCATTTGATGGACGGCCAATATGTAGTATATACTTTTGGGATCAAAACCCATATCCTTAACTGCATCTGTAACCTCTTTAAACACATCACCTCCCAACATTAGTGCTCTGGGCTGCAACATGATTAGTTTTCCAATATGAGATTTAGGCACACCATGGGACCGTAAGGTGTGGATATTTGGCACCAAAACTTTTTCAACGTTGTACCCAATCACCCGGCTACATCGCTTAAGAGCATGAATTAAATTCTCATTGGCCCCAATGTATTGTTGAAGGAAATTAAATGTGGGTTTGATTTGGTTTTCTAAACTGGTAAATAACACATTACATGAACAAAGAATCCTAGGCAAGTCACGTCCGACAAGACCCAAAGATTCAAAATACTCAATTTTGGGTATCAAAGTTCTCTCTGGATCAGCCAAAAGTAAATTTGGGTACCTGGAAATTATGCATGAAATGTGATTTTCAGTGAAGCTATGCGACCTTAACAGCTCAAGAACAGAGTTCGATTTCTCTGTGCTCTTAATGTTAACCTTTTTAGACGCTGAGATAGCAGATTCTAAAGACAACCCACATGAGTTTGTGAGGTAAGAGACCGTGAGTGGTTGTTTCTCCGTGAAATTTGAGTGGTTTGTGATTGATTGGGTCTCAAAAAAACGAACAATTGTCACTGTAGAATGACTGGTCCTATGATGTATGAGAGTGTCGTATATGAAATAAAAGATTGGTGATATAGACTTACAGGATCTGAAAGCCATATGGCTGAGATTTTGCATGTTAGCTTCTATCCCGTGCTCGATCTTCCATAAGTTTCAGAGAAAACCCAGTGAGAGTGAGAAAACCCTAGTGAGAGTGATTCAGAAAAGCTTCAATTTCAATCTATGATTCAATTCTAAACTTCTTTTGGGCTGCAGACATGTCCAATTGGCCCATAAGGGTCTAAAGTTGACCAATGGCCATTGGTCTAACTCATAGGAGATGAAACATGTCCCACTCCCGTACAATTAATTATAGCACATGCATACATACACTTATAATTCTTCTATTTTTTTAATAAAGAAAATTAAAAAATATTAAAAGAAAAACTATGATCGTTGTTGAGTTAGATGAGTTCTGCATAATCTCGTTTGGTCTTGTCCAATTGCCATGGTGACCATATTGGGGTGCAACATGAGTTGGGTAATTTGAATCCAACTCGAGTTCAGTCAAATTTTTTTTACGTATTTGGATAATTATTTTTATAGTTAGAGTTAGAGTTAGGTTGAAAAATCTCAATTCGAATTTAATTAGGATTGGACTTGGGTTGAAATGTTAGCAATCTGAGCCAACCCGAACCCGAATTCTAATATTATTTTCATATATAAATTTTTACTTTTAAATACATTATATATAATATTTAAACTATGATTATTTTCTTCTTTTTAATTTTTTTTTTTTTTTTTGGTTAAATCTTAACTTATTATATGTTAATATTTAGGGGAATTAATTTTCTAAAACTTAGTTTGTAATTTATTATAAATCTACAAGAAGTCTTTAAATTTTTTCCTATTTAAGAGTAATTTAATCTAAAACTAATTATACAAGAAGTCATTTGTAGCCTTATTTGTCAAATGTGTATATTTGATTCTAAACTTGTAATGTGTACCTAAACATACTTTTTGATTCTCATTTTATGTATATGATATAAGGCCAAGGGCCAAACCATATTTGAAGTTCATGTATATTCATAAATGTTGAAATCTCGCCTTTAATGAGAATATATAAGAAAGTAGGGTTTTAGCATGACATTTTTGCACCGGAGTGTGCATCGGGTATGAAATTCGTTATCTAGCATTCATTTAATATGTAAGAGGTGTGACCAAGGGTCAATCACTATTTTGTTTTCATTTTTGCATTTTAGTTTCATACTTTGCATTTTGAGCTAAAATAGTAAAATTCGAGCTTTTAAGAGTTCATTTTCAAATCGGGTGATGCAAAGTGTGCACGAGCACATTCATTAGGACCTACTTAATATGCATGATGTGTGGCCAAGGGGCAAACGGTAATTTGAAATCATTTGATAATTTTAGTTTTCAAATTCTCCATTTCTAGTTCATTTTTATCTTTTTGGCCGTGGGGGGGGGTTGAATTTTGCATCGGTGATATTTTTAAACCGTGGACTATTGTAGAACGTCCTAATGGTTAAGTTACGTTTGCGTGCATGATCGTTTTCAAGAAAAACCTCATCCTTGGTGATTTGAGCCTCCTATGGATTTACTTTTGACATTTTTTGCATAATCTGATTTTAGGGCATTTTGAGGTTTTCCTTCGAGAAATGAATTTCGGTCTTAACATGGTCACTTAGAAAACGTGATTTTAGGAATGGTTTCTTCTTTATGTTTTTCCAGAAAATGTCATCGTGGTACCGGAAATCCCTCGCAAAGTTCAGCTTTCAGTTTGTATTTTTGCAGCTTTTTAACCCCCATGACCTGATTTCATAGAGGGGCATTTTTGGCATTTTACAATGAGTTTTTTTTCATTTTCTCTCACGTGGCTAGGTAGAAATTTTGATTTTGGGAGGGGTTTCTTTTTTATGTTTTTCCAAAAAAATTCGTTTGATAGCCCGTTTCTGCTCTGAGATCAAGACAGTTACTGTAGCAACTTTTGCCCTCTTGTCCAGTTTTGATCTAGGGGTATTTTGGGGATTTTTCAGTGTGTTTTTTTGTTTCCTTCCACATAGTCGGGTAGAAAACTCAATTTTAGGGGGGTTTCTTCTTCGTGTTTTTCCAAAAAATGTCATCTCGGATCCGAAACCCCTGCATCAAATCTGATTTCCTGTGCGCATCTGCACTATTTGAAAAAGTTTGTTGTAAGGGCATTTTGGGGATTTTACGTCAAAAATAAAATTTTCTTTTGACATGGTCAGCTTGAAAAAATTATTTTGAGGGGGGTTTCTTCTTCGTGTTTTTCCATAAAACGTCATTTAGTGCCTCAAAACGGCACACAGATTTCAGCATTTTGCCCAGGTTACTATTCACGATCGCGGCGACGTCAAAACTTTGTTTTGACTTTTCTCTTCCATTCGGATTTCGAATCAAGTGATTCTTGAGTCTAACTTGATTAATTTTTCACTGTCTTCCCAGTGGTGTGCTCGGTAGCACCCGATTTTATATTTTTCAAAAATGACCATTTTGCCCTTGGGACTATTTTTGTCCGGTTTTCTTGTAATTCGCTTCCGCTACTTTCTTTTGAATTCTGTGACTTCACGGGAAGTCATGGATGTGTCTCGGGAATAATATACATTCTAGAGACATCATTTTCATGTAAAATGACTATTTTGCCCCTGGGGGCTTATTTATCACATTTCCAATCTTTTACTTCCGCGTCAGTTTTCATTGAGTTCCACGACCTCATAGAAGGTCATCAAAGTGTATTAAAGGTGTGTTGTGCCTTGGGAGACCGTTGTCTTGTTTCTTACTTCTGCATTCTAGATTCGTTATCAGATCTAAGTTCGGTTCAATACAGGACGCGCTGGCCTAAAAACCAGGGCCGTCACAATACAAACATCTCACAGCATAGACATTTTACATATCGTAGCTTATATTTCTACTTTACATTCTTCATTTTCATCTGACTATCCTATCATACTTTTTTTTATCAACGGTTTCAATAATTTTATAAGTTTTTAGGCATGAGATAAATAGAATGTTTACATTTCAATCTCTTTTACTAATAAAATGACATAATTATCAATTAATTGTATATACTTAAACACCCCCCCCCCCCCCCCCCCCCAATTATTCTATTCTTTATACTCTTCACTTTGCTTTATCATTTCATTTATTTAAAAATTTGGCAAGAGGATTAATGAAAAAAAGTGAAGTGTAAATGCCAACCTTCTCATAAAAAAAATTAAAAAAAAAAAGTTCAATTTACACTTACTTTTCATTTTGGGCTCATTCTATTAGTAATTTAGTATAGTATGATTTTTTTATTAGCAAGTTGCATACAATAATAAGGGTATATTATATTAATACCCCTCAAACTATATATAGATTAATATTTTGATTTTAATTTTTACTTGTATCCCGAATTATGTTTTTGGGTTATGAAACATATGACTCTTTTATCTCTTTTTTTTTAGTATTATTTAATTCAAAATATCTACAAATTAAAATGACAAAATTACCCCTATATAATAGGGAGTACTAGTATTCCAAATCACTCTCTCATTTCTCTCCCCATCTATATTAATATAGGCAGCACCACTACAAGACTTAGAAGACTGACGGCCAAGTCACCATCGCCATCACCGGCGAGCCCAACAGCAAGCCCTCTCATGTAATCACAGATTCCCTCCCCGATTCGAAGCGTCAACACGTCAAGGACGTACAACAGCAAATCTCTTATTGCAAGATTTCCATTGCTCAAGTCGGTCGGGAAAGCACCATGGACAGCGACCAAACCGGACGGTGAAGAAAAACCCAACCGATGATGCTACAAACTTTATCACTATGCTCAAACTTCAAAGATCAAAAAACTCCTTCTGGTGTTCTTCAAGTTTTAGTCCGGCAACAAGCGTCCCAACTCCGACGTGCCTCAGTTCAATTTCGGCGGGCTTACAGAGATAGAACAGGTCCAATGAAGCTTCAAACTACATGATCCAACAGCAAACACCTCCGGTGTGGTCCCACCATTGTCCGTGAGCTCCAAAGCTCCATTACCTAATTCGGCAAGCCCAAAGAGCAGCATCGTAGTCTGGCGAGCCCAGACAGAAGCACTTTCAGTCCGGTGAAGCCTAACAGAGGCAACCCGGTTCAGTGAAGCCCACTTCAGTTCCAGCGAGCCTCTGAGCACATAACGTTTAAGCAGCAGCGACCACCGGAAAGCTTCAATGAACCAATCGGCAACCAACTTCAGCAGAATCTGGTGAGCCCCAAGTCCGGTGAAGTTCAGCAGAGTCCGACAAAGCATCAGGTGTGGTGAAGTTCAACCGAATTTGGTCAGCTTCATTGCTCTACATAGCTAATATTCCAGCAAACTATGTGGTCCAGCAAGCTCAAAGTTCGGAAAAGCTCCATGTCACACCGGCGACATTACAAGTGACTTCGACTCCCTTTTAGTGAGCTTCAAGTAACGTGACCCCTTCGTTGACCATCTTGTGAACGCCAAGAGCTTAACTCCAGTGACAGTGACAGTGACATAAGGGGTCAAGTGCATGAGACACACTTAAAATATATTTGTAATACATATCACATTCTTTAGGTAGAAAAATTATTCCTAAAGTTTTAATTTTGTACAAATACATACTATTTTTCCGAAATAGTTGAGTTGGGATTGGTAGTGATGGAGGTGTCGGGTGGGGCTGGGGTGATGGGTTTTATATATACTTTTCAAGTTGTTGGAACAATATTATGGTATGACAAGTTCCATGAAACCCGTTATATGTTGTCTTTTCATAGGCCTATTAAGAGTGACAAAAGTTGCTTAATATAAGGAGGAGGAGGAGGGATGAATGAGAAAGTGTCTCCTTTGACGAAAATCCGTTTTCAGACTTCTTACTTGTCTATCTACTTCTCAGTCCTTCCGCAATTGTAGTCCCCAAATCACACGCGACCATGACCAACCAGAAATTGAAGATAGACGTGTGGTAAAAAAAAATGACGGAATAAAGTGGGGAATGAACAACAAACAATGAGAATAGTCAATTTTGGATGGGCAGATATTTTGATTTGTGAGGTGGAATTTGTATCATATAATAAAATTTTAAAAAATTATAAATTAATTACAAAATAATTTTGTTTATAATTAATTGAACTATGAAAATCCATAACAACTTCGCAGGTGCCCACCCATAATTGACTTATTGAGATATACATACAAGTGAACATGGAATTAATATAAATAGTACTTCCCCCGTCCCAATACAAGTGAACATGGAATTCAGTTGTACAATCCGTCAACTAAAGACAATCAAATAGCTAACATTGTCAATCAAGTAGTGTGATGGGAATCAAATCCATTACGATGATCCATGTACATTGTCTTTAACTTTGGCTTTTGAAAAAGAAAGAAAAAAAGAACTTTGAATAAATAAAAAATAAAATAAAATTAAGTTATTATTAACTAAGTCATATAAAGCAGGAGCGGGAGCAAATTCGAGAGCGGGAGAATAACATAAATAAGTAATAAGTATTGAGAATTTGAGCAACAGCGCACGTGCGAAACGTGAAAGCGAAAGCGCACTCGGAGCGTGAGAGTGACACATGTTAAGAAAGATTATGTGACTTAGGTTATTAAGAATACAAAGTAAGAAATAAGAACATGAAACAAATTATATAAGTGATTCCGTAACAATAGCCGTAGTTTTTTTCAACAGGGCTGAGCCCATTGGTCTTCATCTCATTGAAAACTAGGAAGTAACATATGCTTAGAGGTCTTGGTTTTAAATTCAAGAAGATGGAACCAAAATTGTTGCCATTACATTAGATCTCGGGGGTCCAAGAACCAATCGGACTGGAGAAAGCTTCCAAACTATTTGAGCAATAGGACAGAACTGGAAGTCAATCCAAACTACACTGCCATAGAAAAAATAAAATTTTCCTTTTGGAATTTAAATTCCATATGCTATACCATTTTCCTTTAACCTCTTGAGGAATGCTACATTCGGGACAATTGATGGGAACTTCCGGAGGATTCATAAGATTCAAATCAACTACATAAGCAGATTTCACCGAGAAGGTACCGTTATTACTTAAGCCCCATTTAAGTTTGTCAGTGCCGCATAAGTCAGGAAATGGGATTAAATTACTATCCCTGAAATTGAAATAAGATTGAATGAGCCCCAACTTCTTCTGTTGTGAATATCACAATTAGGAGAGGGAGCAGAAGCAAAGGATCATCCCAGCACCTAATTTGAGTTCCTGGTCCAACTCTCCCAAACTCTTCGTTTTCGGGTAACTGGCTTTGGGGAAAAATGAGATTATTTAGGAATACACATTGAATGACCCCATTGATGAATCAATAATTGATGCTACATAAGTGATTAGATGCGATTTACTTCAACGTGGAGGAACCTTTAGGTGCTTTACCTTTTACAAATCGAATGAATTGCCAGCCGATCATCTATTAGTAGATGAAGCAGATCTAGCGAACAATTCTATTCCTAGCTAGCCTTACTTCTCTGGCGCAATAGGATTCTAAGGCATTGCACAGACCCTTCCAAAACCAAGAAGCTGAAGGTTTACAAGGAGCCTTGGAAAAAAAAACAGACTAAGGAATTATCTTCCACTTCTAAACGCCAATCAAACTTCGAGAAAAGAGCAATTAATGTTGAAAGCCATAATGCTTTTAAAACCAAGACCTCTAGAATGAATGGATTTATATAATTTGTCCCAGCTCACCCACTTGACATAATTGCTAAACTCCTTCCCACACCACCAAAAATTAGTCAATTTGCTTCGAATTGAATTATAAAAACTCACTGAAATTTTAAAGCAGGACATGAAATTTTCCAAGATGTTACAAGAGTCGATAGAGAAAGCTAATGTGATCTTCATAATATACAAGGTGAACCTACCTCTTTTTATACTTTATCAGCCACCAAAAAGTCTCACTGAAGTTATTAGAGGATCATTTATTAGACGGCAGAGTTGTAAGTGCTCAGCTGTTGCCTGAATATCTAGCAGTTGCCCGCTTCCCTGATTCCACATTCTTCTACAATCTAATATTGATCTCGTACGCTTTCATCTTTGCCTTAATCCCATATTAATTAGGTGAGCATTATGAACTCTCCCTCTCCATCTCCAATCTTTTCTATTACATGCCATTACAAGTACAATGTTTAACTTTTAAAAGTCAATTTTAATAATTGCATCCCTTGTTATTTTTGTACCCCCTATTACAACTAGTCTTCGTCGTTTGACCAGCGATTAAAATTTAAATATATTAAGCACTAATGATATCCATACTTCACAAGTGTCAGCTCTCCCTCAACACCTAACAACTGTCTAAGGCTAGAAATTACTAACCACTCCAACTATCCCTATACAACCATTAGCATGAGAATGCATGCATTATTAGGGGAAGTACATACTGAGAACCTTAAAGTGAGCAAAATGAAGAAAATAGAAAGAGAAAAGAATGAATGATGCAAGACACAGTTCTCTATTTCGATTTTATTTCGATTTCCCCCAATAAAGCTAGTATAAAGATATAAATCACTGGGTGCAAGATCTGGAAACACCATGAAAGATAAACATACTTCCACTTCTCCTTAATTCGAATATCCCATGCACAATAAAGCTATTTCCAATCGGTAGCATGCTGCATATAACATATCCCATTTAAGTTGGGCAAACCTCTTTCTAGGGTTCCATACCTTGGGACTTTATGTTCATAATGATGTCATGCTTGCTTTTGGTACTCCGGAGAAACAAATCTTGATCAAACCTATATTTGCTCAATGGATACAATCTGCCCGTGGTAAAACTTCATATGGGTTCGATGCCCTTTTATCTTCAATGAATGGCCCGGCATTCAATGTGGGTCGTTCAAAATATACTAATAAGAAAATGTGAGCCCTAAGCTCTTCTTCTATTGAAGAATTGCATATTAATAGATCTCTCATACACGAGAGTTAAATCTAGAGAAAATAGTTTTACATAAAATATGAAAGAACAGACAAGTTAGGACACGTAGGACTCTATAGCCATAATAAAATCATATAAAGTTAAATCTAGAGATAAAGGATTTTCATAGTATATGAATGAATAGACAAGTAAGGACACATGGGACTAATTAGCCATAATGTAATCAAACACACATGGAAATGACCACTGGCCCTACATTAATAATAATTCATCTCGGTAAAACAAGGCAATCAGCCAAGACAGTGTAAATACTATATAAGTACACACACCAACCATCGCAATCACCACATGAATATTATGCCGAAATAGAAAAGAACTAATAATTGAAAGCTACATCCACTCAAATAGAACTATGAAGCAAATCGGCCGGTTGTCAAAATTTTAAAAATTATAGAATACTTCATACCATTACAAATGAGAAACATAATTATGAAATTTTCCAAGATGTGAGAAATCCGATGTGATCTGCAAAATATAAAAGACAATTTTACCTCTTCTCATATTGTATCAACCATAAAATAATAAATAAATAAATAAATAAAATAAAATAAATAAAATAAAAAATCCTCATTGAAGTGAATAGAGGATTACCTCTTAGATGGAACACCTTATATGCAACCAAATCATTTTGATAGAAACTCAAATACACCATATTGTTAGTCCTCTGTTGTTGCCAGCATATCTAGCAGTTACTCGCTTATCTGATTCCACATTGAAACCTTGAAACCTTGAAATCCTATCTCACCCTCGTACGCTTTGATTACCTCAGGCGCTACGTCCTTATACTTGGTTAGAAACCTAGTCTCAAAATTCTTTATGCTAACATTTAACATCCCAACCACATTTACATCCTTCCGAATCAATCCCTTTGACAATAGAACTTGCAGAACTGAACATCTTGGAATGATTCTCCTTTCCAAACTGAACAGTAAAACATTTGGACATTTAGCAATCGCTGATGCTCTTAACCCTACCTTGTTCACAAAGAAATTCATCAGTTCCCTGATCTTCTTCTCTGAGCGAATCATACATATTGGTTGCAATTTGAATGCCAAATTAAATGTGCTTTCAGACCAACTAAAGCTCATATAAGCTTCTTTCTTTTTTTCCCAATTGAGTTTGCCATTTGATGACATTTGATGGACAGCCAATATGTAGTATATACTTTTGGGATCAAAACCCATATCCTTAACTGCATCTGTAACCTCTTTAAACACATCACCTCCCAACATAGTGCTCTGGGCTGCAACATGATTAGTTTTCCAATATGAGATTCAGGCACACCATGGGACCGTAAGGTGTGGATATTTGGCACCAAAACTTTTTCAACGTTGCACCCAATCACACGGCTACATCGCTTAAGAGCATGAATTAAATTCTCATTGGCCCCAATGTATTGTTGAAGGAAATTAAATGTGGGTTTGATTTGGTTTTCTAAACTGGTAAATAACACATTACATGAACAAAGAATCCTAGGCAAGTCAGGTCCGACAAGACCCAAAGATTCAAAATACTCAATTTTGGGTATCAAAGTTCTCTCTGGATCAGCCAAAAGTAAATTTGGGTACCTGGAAATTATGCATGAAATGTGATTTTCAGTGAAGCCATGTGACCTTAACAGCTCAAGAACAGAGTTCGATTTCTCTGTGCTCTTAATGTTGACCTTTTTAGAAGCTGAGATAGCAGATTCTAAAGACAACCCACATGAGTTTGTGAGGTAAGAGACCGTGAGTGTTTGTTTCTTCATGAAATTTGAGTGGTTTGCGATTGATTGGGTCTCAAAAAAATGAACAATTGTCACTGTAGAATGACTGGTCCTGTGATGTATGAGAATGTCGTATATGAAATGAAAGATAGGTGATATAAACTTACAGGATCTGAAAGCCATAGGGCTGAGATTTTGTATGTTAGCTTCTATCCCGTGCTCGATGTTCCACAAGTTTCAGAGAAAACCCAGTGAGAGTGAGAAAACCCTAGTGAGAGTGATTCAGAAAAGCTTTAATTTCAATCTATGATTCAATTCTAAACTTCTTTTGGGCTGCAGACATGTCCAATTGGCCCATAAGGGTCCAAAGTTGACCAATGGCCATTGGTCCAACTCATAGGCGATGAAACATGTCCCACTCCCGTATAATTCATTATAGCACATGCATACATACACTTATAATTCTTCTATTTTTTTAATAAAGAAAATTAAAAAATATTAAAAGAAAAACTATGATCGTTGTTGAGTTAGATGAGTTCTGCATAGTCTCGTTTGGTCTTGTCCAATTGCCATGGTGACCATATTGGGGTGCAACAAGAGTTGGGTAATTCGAATCCAATTCGAGTTCAGCCAAATTTTTTACGTATTTGGACAATTATTTTTATAGTTAGAGTTAGAATTGGGTTGAAAATTTTCAATCCGAATTTAATTAGAATTAAACTTGGGTTAAAGTGTTAGCAATCCGAGCCAACCCGAATTCGAATTCTAATATTATTTTCATATATATATTTTTACTTTTAAATACATTATATATAATATTTAAACTATGATTATTTTCTTCTTCTTTTTTTATTTTTTATTTTTATTTATTTATTTTTTGTTGAATCTGAACTTATTGTATGTTGATATTTAGGAGAATTAATTTTCTAAAACTTAGTTTGCAATTTATTAAAAATCTACAAGAAGTCTTTAAACTTTTTCCTATTTAAAAGTAATTTATTCTAAAACTAATTATTCAAAATCATATTAAATTTTCGGTATAAAAATTAGCCATATGAGTAACTCAAATTAACCCGAAGTTTTTACCTGAAATCTAAACCCGAATTGCAAGCCCGAATTTAAAAGTAGAATGATGGATTGGGCTTTGGTTGAGTAATTAAGGTTGAGATAGTTTTAGAAAAAAAAAAAAAAATTAAAGGTTGATATAAAGTTAGAGTTGAACTTAGATTTAGTATTTCATATAGTAAATTGAATTCAAATTATACCTTAAATTCGCGACTAAATATGGCTAACTAGGACAATAAATCAAAAGGATAATTAATGCACTAGTGTTAAGAAACACATATCGTTCAGTTTTCCGAACTTGCCTCCAATGAGATAGGAACTAAAGGAACCACCATGTTAGAAACTTGGGACTACTTACCCATAATGTAATATAAATAATAAGTCCTCGTGTTAGTAAAATAGGAAAATTCACCAAATCACTGTAAATACTATATATACCATATAAATACGCACATAACACACACCATAATCACCACATGAGTACTCTATATACCATATAAATACACACATAACACACACCATAATCACCACGAGTACTCTGTGAACCTAGAAAATAATTAATAATTGAAAATTACAACCAATCCAATGGAACTATGAAGCAAATATGTCCGTTGTAAAACTTTTAAAAAGAATTGTTTGATTCGAGTTGGAAATGTTACGAGGACAACCATCAGAGCAAAAATTATCGGAGAAGATTTCAACGGTTCTCCAATCAAATTGATCGGAAAATCAGTTTATTTAAGTTGAATACTTGAGCTCTAATACTGAGTCATTTTCCTTGTATATTACAAGACAGAGCACCCAAGGTCCTAAACAATTTATATTTGAATTTATTTATATATAAATTTTATAGAAATAGAAGCAATGATGAAAATTGGTAGCTCCATCTAGCTCCATAACAGAAAATTGGGAAGATATGTCCGACCCATCAGAAATACACATAAATATTTGAAGCTCATTCATTTCATTTTCACAATCATGGAACTACAACTAAAGAAAAAGTACAAACTTATTATCTAAAAATAGTTTTCTTTTTTCTGAGTTCTTAAAAATTATTTTCAGAGTTACAAACCAGATCCTTATTTTTTCATATTTTGAATCCCTAAAAATTTTAAGTAACAAAATATTTGCTAAAATTGGAAGGTCTGAAACAGAAATGCACACCTAACAGAAATGAGGAAAAAAAAAAAAAAAAAAACGCGCACACACACACACACACAAACACAAGATTTGAGGAAATAGATTGAAAGAACTGTCTCTCTCTTTCATTGTACCAATACTATAACATTGAAAGTGCAAAAACATAACTAATTACTTATAAAATTTACTGCTCATAATCTGAAAAAGCATGAGGGTGACAATCTAAAAATATTTCCACTGCTGCATAACAAACACAAGCCTAGTGCTACAAAAATGTAGCACCACACAAGAGTGAAAGGATGCGAGTGATAATTTAGACAATAACAAAAAGGAGAACCGCTATAGGTTATGTAGGTGGGAACCTGAAAAGAGAAAAAATAAATAAATAATAATAAAAATCTTATAACATGGAAATATAGATAGCACCTGATGAACGGCTAACAAAATATAGGAAGAGTATGCAGAAAATCACTTCGCTATAAGATCAATAGATAAAATGATATTATCACTTTGTATGATCCAAAATTATAGTCACGAATGGTGTTCCTCTTTCCCAAGCATCCATAGGGAACAACGATTAATGATGAACAAGTAGATTTTATCTTCAAAACCTGCATCATTTTGTTGGGATGGTTAATATAAACACGAGCCTTGTGTCACATTCATAGATATAAGTCATGGCCGGCATGTTTCTCTATCAGTGGCTCTTGGAAACTCTGTCCAAAGCATCAAAAACGCTCTGTAAAGTAACTTCCTCTACAATCACAATCTTGTCCCTTGATTTAGAACCAGAGCCAATAGAAACCTGCCTTCTCTTCACCCCAATAACCTGTTTATAAATCAAATGAATATTGTGAAATTCCCGTTTGGGACACTATATCCTTTTATCCAAAATTACCAAGAAGGAACTGGAGAGCAAAGGAAAGAACTATCAGTTTAGAAACCACCCAATTCAAGCATGTTCTTATTTTAATGACAATAAAAATTCAACCATTTGAAGCTTTTAGTAAAAAAAAACACATCAATTTAAGTATTTACTGATACCAATTATTGTTTTACAGAGGTTCTGTACCACTTGTGGAGTTAAAGAAGTGTTAATCCAAGTTAATAATCCAGCAAAATTTAATAGAAAAATTAAAAGACAACAACACGACATATAACACAAAAGTATTCTGTGCACCAAAAGGCAGAAAAATTTAAGATGACAAAAATCTAGACAAGATGAATGAAGGTTACAATAGTTAAGATTTTTTTCCAAGAGCCCTAAATACCCCCGACTCAATCCCCAATAACAGTTGCTCCCCCATTCATAACTGCATTCCCCAGCTTGGGGTATAGCCATAAAAGTGCAATCCAAAATCACAGAAGCGTTAAAGGGTAAATCATTGTTACATTGAAGGTTCATTCAAAAGGTAGTCCTGCAGTAAAAACCTCTCTAGTTGTAAGAATAATCATTAGTCAAACAGATTTTCACCTGATTGGGCCAATCACAGAAGGTATGTGCTACTAGAGAGTACCAAATTTAGTGAATTCCATTGTTCTAGTGTTAGAAGCTAACGGATTTATTAGTGCTTCATTACCTTGGTCAGCTCACAAGTAGGAGTGTCTAGAAGCAGGGATTGAGGAGGTTAAAGGTTTCCCACAGAGCTATCTATACAATGATGCAAGTGCAATAGATCTTAATTTATTCATCATCCTCTTATCAAAGAAATATCAGAAATATTTATATATAACTTCTATTTATTAATTTGATATTTTTTGATTCAATAATTGGAGCTTCTGAATCTTTTAGATGACTTGAACTTTCTCCAAAGTTAGTTTGTGTTCATATGATGATAGGCTCACAGTCGAGGTTTCAGTAAGAAACACGAAGACTGGATTTCTGAGCGGTTCACCAACTGTTAAGAATGAAAATACCAAAGTGACATCCTCAATCAAAAGGTGTTGCACTCAAGGTTAGACCCGATGTAATCAAAATTGACTTTAACTCTGGGTGCAAAGGAAGTTAATGATGCATAAAAAGGATAAAAGGAAGGCTGTCAATTCTTTGTTGAAGTTTATCTCAAGTTCTGGAGGTAGGAGTTTAGTCAAGTCTAAAACCAGATTAGCTTTATGCATTTTATTTCTATTAGAAATGGGTTATAATTGTGGTCCAAACACCTGTACTGGGATTACTTGATAATGAAATTGTTGGAGAAATAAAATTTTAAATTTATGTGTTCTCTATCTTACGATCTTTCTTTGGGATTTAAACTATGAGACCATAGCCAACAGAATTTGAGCGCCAACAGTATTTGAGCCCACAATGCTAGAAATATCAGATTTCAGGCCAGAAATATCATTTTGCAAGTTTTTGGCCTTGATTCTAGAGTTAATTGAGTTGAGAAATACTTGTAGCATTGGATTCTCTCTGTCGGGCTGCATCTGTTTCAGCAAAGCACCAAGATCATTTTAGATGGTTATTAATATCTTCAAAATGCAAAGGCAGAAAGAGATTCTAAAATTAAAAATCACAGTGAAACAATCAAAAGTCTTGTACATGTGATTGAAGATTTTCAATAATAAGTTCAAAACAATTACACTGATCGCTTGTGACAGATTGAAGATATGTTAGCTACATCATTGAAGAGGTCACAAAAAAACTAGAATTGGTCAGGTTTATGGATTTATTTTCATTGGGAATGTATTCTAATTGGAGGAGAACTAAAACTCAAATCTAACTATTTTCTTTCTGATTCTATTCCTTTTCTCTTAAAGGGCTTGCTTATGAGCCTCATAGCTCATGAAATTAAAGTCTGCATGCTTGAAATTTCTTCCTACCAAAATTTCTTCTGGCTTTTCTCCCCTATTCTTGCTCCTCATCCTCCTTTTGTTTCTTTTCTAATCCCCTATCTTCTACCTTGTCATTCCCTTCTTCTCATCCCAGATTAACCGGTACTTGTCCTACATCAATCGGTATCAAAGCACTTTCAGTTCTACATCAATTGGGATAAGAGCACTTTCCACATCAATTGAATTGATGCAGCACAGAGAACACTCTGATACCAAATGATGCAAGACGCAGAACACTCCAATACCAATTAATGAAGAACAAGAAAGAAAATGAGAGGAGTATAAAATTTTCGGTAGAAGAAACATTAGGGAGAGAAGAGTAGAAGATATGGGAAAGAAAAAGAAATCAGGGAGGAAAAACACTGTAATGCATAATAATCTCAATCAAATCATCAAAAGTAATAAAACACTATAACATAAGGCTTTATTTATAGGAAAAATCGTAGGGAAAACCTAAGAAACCCTCAAAATAAGAAAATACAAAAAGAACCCTAACAACTAAACATTCTGAAAAAAAGGTAGAAAAAAATACGTAACCATAATTGTACCAAAAATCTGAAATGTTTTTTTTATCCTTATCCCTTTTCCTAATCATATGCGGTTCAAGTTTGCAGTTAAGATATCCATCAATTCTTCCCTGCTACAAAAGAAGTTGCATCTGGAGAGTTAATGTAGTGACATGGCTCCAAACGATTAAAAAGCTGAAATTACCATCAAACTTAAATTCTTTAAATCCATCCACTTGAAACATCAGGGATAACTTTTTTTACTTTTTTTTATTTATAAGTAATGTCTCGTATAATTTGCCCTTTCTTGAAGAGAACCCACTGCTTCCTCGTGTTGTCTTATAAGACATATTGCATCTCTTCCACAATAAAAAAGAAAAGTATGAATGACAACGTTGGAATCCACGTTTTATTTTGTCCCCGTATTTCCGGGTCCTGTGATTAGTGGATCACGGTTAATTAGGGATTTTAATTTATTTGACTTTATTTTATTCCTTTATTGTAACCCTAGTTGGAAAATATAAAAACAAGTTCCTGCACTCAATTAGAGACAAGCAATTACACAATTTATTTTTCTCTTTTTTTGTATCAAAGCCTTACACGCTCCTCTCTTCAAACCACTTGCCAGCACCACCCACCTCTCTCTCAATACCTTCACCCACTGCCCTAGACCCCACCCCACCTCCATGCTCTTCCCTAGCCTGCAGCGATTCCCCCCTTGGGAGTCCAGCTTTCTTGCAAATCCCTTGGGAGTGTTGTCTCTTCGGTTTGAACCCCTCTTTCGGGATATTTTTCAGCAAATAGCTGTAATGTGCTAGGGTGTTCTACCCTTCTTTGATGATTTCAGGCTACCGGTGTGTTCGGTAGCATCTCCGTGAGCTTCTGCGTGTCTCCGGCAGCTGGGTTGTTGGTGTTTGCAGCGATTTTCCTGTCCGAGAAATTTCTGAAGTTCTTTAAGTTCTTTCTTGATGGGTGACTAGTGAAAAAGGTAAGGAGGTAGTTGTTGCTCCCCGTTATGATATGTCTGTTTCTCAACATACCCCGACTCAACAGGTTACAAGCGTGTTGTTGAATGGGCGTAATTTTGCATCATGGCCTCACTCCTTTCGTCTCTATCCTGATGTTGATGACCCTAAATTTGCTGCATGGGATATGGATAACTGCACGATTCTAGGATGGCTAATTAATTCTATGGAAGAGAGACTTTACAATATATTCATGTACCATGGCACAGCACAGTCTTTGAACTGCTCTGGCCAGATGTATAAGCATGTGCGCAATGATTCCCTGATTTTTGAGTTGTACAGGGAAATGTCCCGAGCAGAACAGTAACTTTTGGGATTATCCGTGGTAGATTAGTTTGGGTATTTACAATCTCTTTGGGAGGAGTTGGCTCAGTATGAACCCCTAAATGATTTTCCACCAGACGCTGCCTCTATTGTTGTTAAGCATTTAGATCGTCAACATACCTACCGGTTCTTGATGGGGCTCAAACCTGAATTCGAATCTCTCCCATGCCAGTTTTGTATGATGCTTTTGCGACTATTGATAGTGATGAGCGCCAATGCCACTTACTTCTTCCTACTCCTGCTGTCATCTCTGATCCATCTACTGCAAGGGATCAAATGGCATTTGTGGCTAATTCTGGGTCCCGTTCTACTGGCGAAAAAGTTTTTGCCATCACTGTGGAGAAATCGAACATATGAAAGCCTGCTGCTTCAAGTTACATTCTAAGTTGAAGCAAAAATTTGCTAGTGGTCCTTCACGCTCCCCCTCCCGCACTGCTACTATTGTTTATGTTAGCCCTGGGCCAGTTACTAGCTTTCCAGATGTCACTCATCTATAATCTCATATTGGCCAACTTCAAGATCAGCTTATTACTCTTGTTCGGCAGTGTGCAGGTGCTGGTGTGACTGCTCCTACCACCTCCACAGCTATACTTGCCACAGGTACTCCTGCTACTTTTCACGTTAGGAAAGGGAATCCTACATGGGCTTTTGACTCTGGTGCAAATGATCATATGATGGATGAGTTATGTTACCCCTTGTCTCCTTTTTTTTTTTTTTTTTGATAAGTAATAATAATATAAAAAAGGCGCTCAAAAGGGGAACGCGTCCCTATTACAGAAATAGAACCGGAACTAAGACCCCAAGGAATCCAAAAAAATAATTAAATCATCAGAAGAAGAGCAAGAACTCCTCTTCACATAAGAGAATAGAGAGCAAAGAATGTGATGTTTCACCATTGCCGTAGACGACTCTTTATCTTCAAACATTCTACTATTTCTCTCCTTCCAAATACACCACAAAACACAATATGGGATAACTCTCCAGAAATCACGTACATCCCTTCTCATGCGACAACCTCTCCATACATGAATCAAATCCTTAGTAGATCTTGGCATTACCCAACACATACAAACAACCCAAAGATAAGATTCCAACAGTCATTCGCCACAGGGCAATGCATAAGGAGGTGGTCAACAGACTCCCCATGTTTCTTGCATAGACAACACTGATTAACAATACAGTTGCCCCTGATCCTTAAATTATTAATTGTCAAAATCTTTCCCCAAACAGCGGTCCAAACAAAGAAAGCCACCCTAGTTGGAGCCATGGATCGCCAAATAGTTTTCCACAGGAAAACATAATTAACAAAATGAGACGGACATAAAAATAGGGATCTTACTTTGAAACGACCGTGGGAAGGAGCCCAAATCAAATCATCATTTCCTCTGCCAACACCCTCCTGCCGATATAGAAGATCCAAAAAAACACATACCTCATCAATCTCCCAATCCTGAAAAGAGCGCCGAAAGTGCACATCCTACGTAATCCCACTATTATCAAGACGATAGCAATCAACTACATAGGCGTGTTTATCAACTGCAATACTAAATAATTTAGGAAATGAACGAGATAGTGGTTGATCACCACACCAAAGATCTTCCCAAAACCGAACACAACGTCCATCACGAACTTTGAATCTGATATGAGTAGAAAAGGCATCCCAACCCTTCCAAATAGACTTCCACATCTCTACTCCTCCCACAAGAGTAACCGGACATGTAGACCAGCCTCCATCTTCTTCCCCAAACCGACAGGAAACTAACCTACGCCAAGGACAGTGTGTTTCCCTTCCAAATCTCCATAACCATTTACCTAGGAGGGCTTGATTGAAAAGAACTATTCGTCTTATGCCAAGTCCTCCAAATTTCACAGGCTTGCAAACTTGTTCCCATCTGACAAGGTGATACTTGAACTCATCTCCCCTTCCTCCCCATAGAAAATCCCGTTGAATTTTTTCAATCCTATCCGCAATGGAACAAGGAATTTGGAACATAGAAAGAAAATAAGTGGGAAGACTCGATAACGTACTCTTAATAAGAGTAACTTTACCCCCCTTGGACAAATATTGCTTTTTCCATCCTGCTAGTCTCTTCGCATACCTGTCAATCATTGAATCCCAACTCCCCACTATCCTTGAAGAGACCCCAAAGGGCAACCCCAAATAAGGAATAGGAAAAGAACCCACCGTGCATCCAAGAACTGCAGCTAAGAAAGAGATATCCTGAACATTCCCTACTGGGACAAGCACACTCTTTGCCACATTGACCTTTAGCCCGGAGACCGCCTGAAAACAAGTTAGGATGCATCTCAAATAACGAAGTTGAGACACATCAGCATCACAGAAAACCAGGGTATCGTCTGCAAAAAGTAAATGAGAATCTCCATCTGTTGGGCTAAGTCTCTACCCACTTTGAAACCCTTAATAAAGCCAAGGTCCTCTGCTTTGTGCATAAGTCTGCTTAATCCCTCCATAACAACAAAAAAGAGGATAGATGACAAAGGATCGCCTTGTCTTATGCCCCGGGTGCAACCAAAGAAACCAGCAGGAGTGCCATCCACAAGAATAGAAAACTTGACAGATGAAAGACAGATCTCGATCCACTTCCTTCATTTGCTTCCAAACCCCATTTTTTGTAACAAATAGAGAAGGAAATTCCAATTCACATGATCGTATGCTTTCTCAATATCAAGTTTGCATAAAACTCCAGGAATACCGATTCCCAATCTGGAATCCACA